GAAAACATGTAAGAGGCACTGTACTTTGCCATGTCGCTTTGCCACACAGGAAAACATAACTCTCTACTGGTATAAATTTTATAGGGAGAAGAACATATATACTTTTCAATATTTAAAGGTCTTTAAGCATTTCTTCCAGTTTAAAATGTGTTTGTGTCACATACTCATGGGTTCTCAACAAACTTGTTTCTCTTCTGTGGGAAAAGTAGAAGCACTCTTGTTCTATTTCTAAACATGTCATCTGCCCTATATTTTCCTTTTTTCTCCCAGAAGATATTTAGAGGGACAAAATCTTTTACCAAAAGAATGTGTTTATTTTTAGATCATTTTCCAAACATACGCGGTGCTAGAGATCAACTGCTGTTTATTGATTTGTTGTGTCAATAATTCCATTAACTGTGCTTCATATAATTCCGAATATGCACTAGTGCCCAAATATATGGTGTGGCACCAACAGCAGAGGACAAGAAGGAATGAACATGAAGAAACCGAAGTTCAGGCACCACCTCCCTCCTGTGCTATTAAGTTACTTAGTTCCAGCACACTGTGTTGAAGGAAACTACATAATGTTTAAACAGTTCTGACAAAATTTAAGACTCACTCCTTTAAAGAAAAAGTTCAGCGTAAACATAAGAGAAGAAAATGTTAAGTAAATGGAATCCACCACAAGCTGCGTTCTGTTGATTATAGAGGGTTTTTTTACTATGAGTAAGGTACTTTTTCCAGATTAATTAGGACAAATACACTGGGCTTTCATGTATGGTAAGCTTCAGTTTGTATCAGATCCGTCATTGCTTCTGACAGTTACTCCCTTCGTATGCTGGCCAAGAGACTGAGCTGCTTTAATGGAGGATTGGCTCTTCTGTTTTCCCTGTATCCTAGGTAAATACTCACTGCATTCGTGTCCTCTTCTCAAGTTCAACCCTCTGCCTAAGCAGGCACCAAGTCACTGATAAATTGTTATGCAACCTTGACTGCCTACTCATTTATCAAACTGTTTTCACCAACCATAAAATTTACATACCTGATGGTCTCTCACAGCTTTCTGTTATGTAATTAAGATTCAGATTGCCTGGTAAACTCTTCCTCTTGGTGCTAGACACTGATTGTTTTTAATTATTTTTTTCCCAGTCATCAGTGGGACTTCTTAAAATGAACCTGATTCGTGGAATTTATTCCACTTTACAACTAAAGCCCAAGTATTATGATATTCATGGCACAGTGTAAAACATGACATTGGGCAGTGTACTTGATTTTGTTAGTTTCTTCATTTAGTAGAAATATTATTAAAAATATATCAACATTGAAAAGTAATGATTTCTTTAGTATATGAACTCGAAATACTTCTAACAATTCTCAGGATTAAAACTGGCAGTCATGGATTTATATTGACTTATGGACTGAATTTAACCATGTGGAATCAAATGCAAGAGATACTTGGGCTTTTTTTTTTTGTTTTGTTATCCACGCGAAAAATAAATATATTTAGTTTTTAAAAATATATGTAGTATATAATAAGCCTGATAAATCAGAAACTGTTGTAAGTGATTCGGGCTAAGTAAAAAAAAAAAATGTTAAATTGCTTCATTAAATTTTATCATATGTATCCAAGACCAGTCTTTTACCTGACATGTATGTACTGTTTTCAAATAGCATTTTTTTGTCTCTGTCACTGGATTAAATGTTACAGAGTTGTAGTTGAAAACAGTATGAGAAAAGGTACATTAAGAAAAGGAACCTTCTAAAAGAAGTCTCACAGGCCAGTTACATCCACCTAGGAGAATTCATTATATGCATTATATGGAGGAGAGAGTTCTTTCCAGTTACTTGGTAACCTAGTTTGGGCTCATTCATAATATGCTGTGTTGCTGCTGCCACTATGCCTCATCCTCCCAAACTGCTCTGTGGCATCCTTCTCTCCTTAACTGTCCCTAGTGCTTCCCAAATGTGAGCAGGATGCTGTTACGTGTGCTTGCACGGTGGACTTTTATGTGCTCACTAAATCAGCAGTGCTGTGAAGTGTAGACTTATGACACACACACCACCTGGTGAGACTTTTCTGTTACCATAGTTCTGGTCACACACTGTGTGAGGTCAGTAAAGGGGTTGTAATGCACCACTCTCCTGTGCCAGTAGAAGGAGGGGGGCCCGCCATTGCCAAGAAATTCTATTCAAATTTTATTTTATTTAGGCAATTTTATTCAAGAAGTGGTCTGAGAGGGAAAAGGAAATACCAAGGGATACTATTTGGGACTTGTGTGTCTTCCAGTGACTCATTATTTCCAATTTGTTTATACGTACTATTTTTGTAGGCTGCTCAACTATCATTCCATGGCCTGGTGTTTCAGACCTCTGTTGTGGACTGCAAGAAAATAGTTGGTGTGTGTTACATCAGGAGAAGAGTCAAGGCCCTGTAGCTAGGGGAGGAGCTTACAATCAACAGGTCCCTTTTTCACTTGGGGCAGAATGGGGCATGTTCTATCTCCTACAAATATCTTGTGCAGACTCAGTCTATGAACCACTGTTGTGGAGGGTAAAGGTTGAGAAGGCAGGAACTCCTGGAAGGCAAAGTATGTACTGTAATGTATAATAGAAGAATAGTATTTTGTGTAATCAGGAAACCAGGAGAGGAAAATGCCACTGATCACCATTCCTGGACAGCCATCTCTCATATCCATAGGTAACCTTTGAAAAAGACTGAGTATCATTTCCCTTTTCTCATCTTCCTTAATGCAAGATCTTGATGGTTTTTTTTAATTTATATTTTTCCTCTCTTCAAATTGGGGCCTCGATTGCAGACTTCCTCCTATTCATCATGACAGTTTATCAGGTCTTGAGTTATGCACCTTCAGCCTTTTCCACCCCATTCCCGAGGGAAATCAGTTTTACTATTTATTTATTTATTATTTATATGTTTGTTTATTTGTTTATTTATTTATGTATTAGGAAAGCATGTAGTAAGAACCTAACCCAAGCGCGGTTTACATAAGTGATAGTTTGCTCTCACCTGAAGCCTTGACAAGTAGTCTGGTGCTCATACATTCCTGGATACTGAGTTACCTTCTCTATATCGGCACTCTTAATGACCTGAATTGCTGCTATACTGGAGGGCATCTCAAAAAAAAGAAAGGCAAAACTATTAAATGTCATTTCCTCAATGGGTAAGTATATGGGCAGCAGGCAGTTTGCATTGGTTCAGCATATGGGGTGTGTGTTTATTCACTAATCTCCTACAAATCACACTTTTCTTTAAAGAAACCATCCTGTTAAGAAGTGAATTTACCAGTGAACCCATAAGATTGGTGTAGTGTTTATAATGTGGATGCAACATTATGTTTGAACATTTTGTAGATCCTTTAATTATGTTGCATCTCTATTGTATACGTTTTTAATACCCCCCCATCAATAATATTTCCCATTTTTTGTTGGGTAAAGTCATAAATAACTATGACTTTCTAGTGAAAAGCTTTGTAATTTTAGGCAGTGTGTTTCTCTATTCAAAATAATATTCCTTTTTGGGCTTTGCCCATTTAAGGAAGACAGTAATAAACTGTCCATTAATAAAGGAAGCCATAATAAACTGCTACGATAATCATATTTTGAAGTGCTTGCACTTCACCCTCTCCTTATTTCCCTTTCTTTCCCATCCCTTCCCATTCACCTCTCAGAAACGTGTTTGTTTCATTAGAAGCGTCTGCTTTGTTCCTCAGGATACAAAGGATATTACTTGAAATCAAGGACTAGGAACACACAGTGCTCTTAAAATCAACAGTGAAGAAAGGTTGCAAGGACCAAATAGGAATCCAAGACCAGCTGACTTAGCCCTGTATCTCTCCTCCCCTCCTTATCATCTGCCCTGCCTTGAATTTTTTGGATTTGGAGGAGCTTCTTTTCTGTACCTGCTTCTGTGCCTTTGTGTGCCTTACATTTCTTCTTTCTCACCACCTTTCTTTTGTGAAACAACTTGCTTGTCTGTGCTTTCCCTTAGCAGTTAGAGTCTCTGTTTTGGTGACGCTCTCATTTCAGCTTTACATCTCATGTGCATGTTTTTTTTCTGTGTGTTGCCATTTCCCCCCTGAAGAACACGATTAAAGAAATTAAAATTTCAGTTTATCATTGTTTGTAACTCACCAGTTACTAAAAGTGACCTCATAGAAAAAAGGACACTTCTCTCTATCCTGCTTTCATTTCTATGCTTGGTTTCAAAGAGCTGCTCTAAACGATGGTGGTGTTGGAGCTCCTTCACAGCAAAGGTTAAAGGTTTCTTGTAAAATATAGTATGCAGAAGCTGCTAGTGCTGCTTCTGTGAAGTTACAGTGAAGAGTTATGACTCCTGTCTGGTTTTTTTATATTTTTGGGCAATGTTAGTTCCAAATAAGCTAGAAAACAAGAAATAGAGAAAGCTTAGTTTGTACAGACACTGTGTTTCTTTGGAGGGCTTGCAGGAGAATTTACTGCTCTCACACTATTGAGTCATCCCTGAGAAAATGAAAACATAACTTTAAACACATTGAACAGCTCATCCCAACTTCATCATAGTCCTGTGCAATTGTTTCTGTATGTATTTGAAATTCAGAACTTTAAAATTCCTATTCCTAACGAGAATAAAGGAATGCAGCAAATAGATATAATTTTATAATTTTACAGGTCAAATCTAAATAAATAAATTTTCTGTCATTCCTCTAGTTTTGTTCTGAGCAAATCTTGTTTGAAATAAGGGAGATCGTATTTTTCTGAAATACTGGTACTGAATGTTAATACTAAATTGTTTTGTTTACAATTTTTTGTAAATTATGTTTTCCAATTCTTCTGTAAAATATCTTTGGAGGAAGCTTAGCTAAGCACCAGTTATGCTTTGACATTGTAGTATTCAGTCACTGCTGCAAAACTTGAACCTGTGTGTCTTCAGTTTTCAAAGTTTAATTTCTTTTCTCTTTGCAAAGTCCTGCACAGCAAATGAAACCATTTCAAGTTTTAACTCGTTTTATGTTTTGTTCTAGGTTGTTGGAAGAGGAGCCTTTGGTGTGGTCTGCAAGGCAAAATGGCGAGCTAAAGATGTAGCCATTAAACAAATAGAAAGTGAATCTGAAAGAAAAGCCTTCATTGTAGAGGTACAGTAATTTGATGGGAAATACCAGGTTTGGTAGAGCTTGTTTTCTTGAATTCATGGGTGCATTTTAGTGTACTAAAAGCTACTTAAAGTACTGAAGTCTATTAAAAGATAAATATACTTAGTGGTACCCAGTTCAGACCTGGACCTCTTGTCTTGCAGAACAAGAGATTTGTCAGAGAACATTCCAGCTTCTTTAGCTTGCTTCCCATAAAAAGCTGGAAGGCATGGAGGAAAGACAGAAGGGCACACAACTGGGGAAATGCCAGTTCCTAGATTCTGTCCCAGTCTGGAATCAGGGTGCAGCTGAAATACCCACCAAAGTCTTGGAGCTGATTAACACTTCCAGAGGCTACAGCATAGGTTCTTCAGTACAGTCAGGTCCATACTTGAAACTGTTTCTGAGTTTTATCAACAGTTCTAATGAATTTATTATTTTTTCTTACATATATTGCTACCTGTAACTCATTTAAAGGCAGTCACTGTTTTCATTCCATGTCTACTTCTTCAGAAAAACCTTGAGTAGTTCAGATACAATGATACACTTCGCAAGATACATAACATGTATTAGAATCAAAAGTTTGCCGTGTAATTTAAGTGGGATATATTGTGACATGTTGCTTAGTATTTATTCAGTTATCATTTAGTATATTCGAGATACGCAAAATATGTTAAAAATAAATCTCTTCAATTTGGAGCTAAATGTACTCAAATGTAACACATTGAAGGGTTGAAAGAAGCATGTTTGTTATAGGCCTCTGTGTAAATATTTCTATTTTGTTCATTACCGTGGAAAGTTTTTAAGTTTAGTAATCTCAGTCTAATTTAATACTCAGTAGATCTGATCTGTCTCTTAGCATTTTTTGTGTTCTGAAGAGATTTGAGTAGATAATCTTAAAAATGCTTAAATAATTGGTATTCTGGAAACCCTACACAGCGTAATAATCTGTTCTGATTTTTTACGTCTTCTGAAGTGTACAGAAAAGTAGCATTTGTTCCATAGACAATGAACAGCATAAACTACTTCAGAAGCCTGTGTAAAGGGAAAAAGAAATTATTTTTTCTTTCCCTTCTGTTACGTACTGGTAATAAAAATACTTAGTGCAAAATAGAGTAATTGTCAGTACAAGCAGTAGTAGGTTCTTCTAACTATGTCACTTTAATATTAAACTGTTTGGCTTTATTTCTAGTGTTGTGGGCTTGGGATTTTTTAGAACAGTAATCTTCTGTACTGTGAATAAAGCCAATATGATTCTGATTTTTTTAAGTAGCCAGACAACCGAGATTCCAAAATTGCAGGCTCCAGGAAGAGCATCAAACCTACAGAGGTCTTAGATGCAGAGTGCTTGTGACTTGAGTGATTTTACTACAGCCTGTCAAAATATTTTCTTTAAATTTAACTTCTTAAAAATTTCTTTTAAAATACAGTTCCAATTAGACTCAAACCTAATTACATAAATTAAAATGCAAAGAGGGACATAGGTCTTGGAATTCCTAAAATCACTATCTAGGGTTATGCAGACATATAAAACTGTACTTTCTGTCGCAGTGTATTAATCATGACTGTGAAAATAAAGCATTAACCTTTTTTCCCCATGGTTTGAAATTGTGTGATTTGTGTTGCAGCTTCGACAGCTGTCACGAGTGAACCATCCCAACATTGTCAAGTTATATGGAGCCTGTCTAAACCCAGTAAGTTATAGCTTTGTCAGTGTAACAGCAAGTGACTAGCTTAGCATGTGCAAGCATCAATGCACAAAAAATGCATTTCTTACTAAAAATGTATATTTTCTATGTATTTTTTATGTTTTGGCTATAATAAGGAAATGTACAGATATGTAGGTTGCTTGATATTTTCAGGTCGTAGGTTTTTTTCTTTCCACTGCTATGAAAAATAAGTTCTTTCAAGAAGACCCCAAAGCCATTTCTAAGCACAGGTTATGCTTCCATTTGTTAGAATGGCATCTGCTGTATTACATATGTAGTTATGTTCATATTTACAGTATATTAATTGCAAATTAGCAATACAAAAAGCAAATGCATTAGCAACACATGATTATAGCTTGTAAATCAGTTCCTATTCTCATGTGTGCAATTTTCAGGATTTGCCACAGCTGCAAACAGTCCCACAAATTCTCAAAGCAGAAAAGCAAGTCCTATGACTGGACTGATACATCCTTAGCTAATTCTAATATGGGCTATTTAATTGTTTAAAATAATGCTGCATCCCTTTTTTTTCCTTGGTAGTAGTGATATTATTTTGACATGGTGTTTAATTTTTTTTTTTTTTTTTTTGTAAACTGCTAAAGGAAAAAAGTAAGAACAAGTGAGTTGCAGTTTGAAGACAGCATTTGCTTTTTAAGACTGAGGCAGGGGGAGGTCATTCTCTCCTAACTTACAGTGGGAACTAAGTATAAAACTGATTTCTGTTTCTTACATATAAATACGTACACTTCAAACTGACCTTTTACTTCATAGATATGTTTTCCATTAGCTTAGGTATGGAGGCTTTGCAGTTGTTCTCAAAGAACTTTCAGTTTATAGAAGCTGTTTTCTGCCCCTACATTTAAGACATCCCTGTTCTTTGTTCCCTCCCCTGCAAAGGTGTGTCTTGTCATGGAATATGCCGAAGGAGGTTCTCTATACAATGGTGAGTATCACTTCAACATAGTGTCTTCCTGGACCTAAAGCACTAGTATTAGGGCATACATGATCTAAACTGTAAAACTGTTTCATACATATGTCTCCATCCTTGGAGGTACTCAGAAGTCACCTCACCAAAGTCCTGGCAACCAGCTGGAGGTGGCCTGCTCGACCCTGCTTGGTGGACCTCTGGAGGTCCCTTCCAACCATTCTGTGGTTCTTTGAAATGTTTTAAATAGTTTTAAGGAGAAAGGAGTGTGCTTTTTAAAACCGCTTTTCAGTCCGCTGGTTTGTTCTTGGTATCAGTTTCTTATATTTTATATAAGTAATTTAAAGTTTTCCAGTGGAACATCTGAAAAGATTTTTGCTTAAGTTGTAAATTCCCTGACCAATTGTTTAACATAGACTTTACTAGGGATAGCTGAGAACAAGCAACACCTTTCATGTTGAATTTTAACATTAAAATTTATGGAAAGCATACTAAAAAACAGAAAATATTTTGTCATTTATTTTTAAAGTCTCCAGAAGGATATTTTCAGTTGCGGTAATGAGGTGTTGATAATTACTTAGATTCCATAGAGCTTTCTAAGTGGTATTTTGTTAATTCCATCATATGTGTTGTAATATGCAATAAAGTTCTTTTTAGTTTGTGCCTTTGTTTTGCAGTGCTGCATGGTGCTGAACCTCTGCCTCATTATACTGCTGCACATGCCATGAGTTGGTGTTTACAGTGTTCCCAAGGAGTGGCATATCTCCACAGCATGAAACCAAAGGCTCTAATTCACAGAGACCTGAAACCACCAAAGTAGGTTTATGGTTCATATTTTATATTTTCTTACAATTGGAAGTTAAGATAATTTTTAAATATTTATTGCATTTGAAAAGAACCTTTAATTGATACTAACTTTTGAGTCTACCATATTCCAAATGAAAGGTATGCATTTGAAACTTCAGTTACAGAATGATGGTGTATGATACAGAAGATGAACTGTATTCACTTACTTTCTGTCAAACTGGAAAAATATCCTGCTCCTGCCCTGTATCATGTAAGAGGATTTTTTTAGAAGTAAGACTTCTAATCAGAGCCATTTAAAATCCTCCAGTTTTGAAATGGTTTTGTTGTTCAGTAAGAGAACATTGTGGCAGGGGTGTTTTGGTTGATTGGTTCTAATGTCATATTTAATCTGTTATATTAGAGCTCTTTTCACCACATGGCCATCCTCTTTTGTCTGCCCCTTCTGCCAGTTCTACTACCCCTGCCAGGAGCTCCCATCATTTTCCACTGAAACAAAATTCAGTAGTTTTCTATCCAGTCAGTTTGTTATCTGACTCATTTTACAGCTTCAGATCTGGCTGCACAGATTAGGTAGAAACAAATATTTGAGTATGAGCAGAATCATCCCTTTTTTATGGTAGCCTGCACTTACTACCAGATAAAATCCTAATATGAAGCCAAACTTTAAATCTTTAGTTCTTTCTTGTATCCCCAGTTTTTATCTAGAGAACTGTCAACATGGGACTTCAGTGCTTTCATATAAATAAATATCTATGTTGACGGACATTAGCGGGCATCTTGACTATTCTTGTGCTGAAATTGTTACAGCACTGTTTTTTCAGCCTCTATAATCGGAAGGTTTAATATTAATGTCAATATATACTTAGTGATTTACTGTGGCTAAAGATACTTAATTAAAATCTGACATGTAGGAATATTAGTAAATTACAGTATGTATTGGAGTATATTAAAATATTCAATATGTTTGCATTAGAAACGAGTGACCTTACTTATTTCCCAGATTATAAAACTAAAGCACTGAGAATCAAAGCCTTAAGACATTCAGCTGTATTAGAATTATAGTTGTTGGGATTAAAAAAAAAAAAAAAACAGTGGTTTATTACCAGACTATTTCATCCCACAATTTAAATATTTTTTTTTTTTCTTTGACAGTTTGCTCTTGGTAGCTGGGGGGACAGTTCTAAAAATCTGTGACTTTGGTACAGCCTGTGATATTCAAACACACATGACCAACAATAAAGGAAGTGCTGCTTGGATGGCACCTGAAGTTTTTGAAGGTAATAAAAATTCACAGTGTCAGTATTATATGTTGTTTTCAGGGATGCACTTGTGAATTAGTGTGCTGCAGGAAATAGGAGTATCATATAATCTTCATTTCAATGTGCATTAAAGTTTAGGTAACAACTGAAAGAGTCTTGGAAGAACTCTAACATTTATTTAAAAATCTGTACAATTGTATATTGCCAAATAATTATGCAAAGGTTTAAAGAACAGCACTGAACCAACTCTCTCATATTAGTGTTAGATATTTAATTAAATGAAGATGTGGAACCTTTATTTGTGTCATGGCTAAGATTTACATAAGGAGTACCTCTAGACAGCTGCTGTTTCTTTTTTTGTAAGTAAGCAAATACAGCCAGAGGGCTCTTTCTCCACAATTTTCGTGTTTCCAAGATTCTTAAGTTATTTCAAACTTTTCTGACATTTAAATACAGTCATTACTTTCTCTCTCTATTCTGATCAGCTTTTAACTTTAGAATTTCCTTGTTAGCATCTCTAAATTAAACATAATTGCCTTCATCTTCAATCCCCCACTTTCTTGTAACTCCATCTTCGTCTGCTTTTTGTGTAATCTAGAGATTTGATGTACTTCCTCTTTCCTACATACTGAGGAACTTGTTATTACCAGTTAATTTAGTTAGGAAAATAAGCTATTTCTTGGAGTGTAACTGGGAAAGACTGATGACACTTGATAATTAGATAGATATAATTGCTGCATGATTATCATAGAAATAATCCAGTCTATATTAAATTGCAAATTAAACACCTTATAGCCAGTCAGTACCTTAAATTATCAATATGATTTAGCAGTGGTCTGGAAAAAGTCATCTTCCTGCTTTAGGAAGTGCCTGTGTGCAGCAGTGGCTTCCCCAGTTCTGGATCTCTTTTCTTTTACTGTCTTTATTCCAGAGACTATTCCCATACAGTTTTAGGAGGTGTTTTGTCACAAACATCACATTTGGAGCTTTTGTTCTGAAGGTTCCATTTTCTTCCACATATTGCTTAGAATACCAACCCAAGGGTTATGTTTCACTCTGGTGCCTGAAAATTTTCCATTATGTCACTTCATATTGAGCCACCTACTTTATTTCTGTTACTCTAGCTAGGAGTGCTTCTTTTCTTACCATTTGTTTATTATTAAATTAAATTGTACAGATAGGAGATTTTTTTCTTTTAGAAATAATCAGTTGGACAATTAGTGTTGCAGTTAGATTTTTTTGTTTTTTGAGTAAAAAATCTTAATCTGAAATGGATATAAATAAGTATGTTATGGTAGGGATTTGCAGTGCATATCGTAGTTCCTCTGATGTATGAATTCAGCAAGGCAGAACAAAGAAATCTTGTATTGCGGTTGTATTTTTGGACAGCAGCAAAAGCCTTCAGTTTACAGGGTTTTTTATGTACTTTTAACTGAAAGCATTTACTGATAAAGAGACAAATCAATATAAAAGGAAAAGTATCAAGGAAAGGAAGAAATCTTGTCGCTTCTATGATGCAGCATATCAAATTACTCTTGAAACGGTTATTAAGCTACTAAAATAACTATGTCAAATGTCAAAATTGTTAAAAATGTGTTTACCTATGCTACTGAATCAGAATTCAACAATGTAAAAAAGGCTGATATTATTTTAGCGCTGTTCTAGTACTAATGTTTTTTAGATGAGAACAACAGAGACATGAGAAGTATCTGTTTTAGAAGACAACCATCTATTGAAGCAGTTGCCCTAATATTAAGATTTTCTTCCCATTTTAAACATTAGGGCACCTAAAGCCTTGTACAGATCAAATAATCTACATGAAAATAACATGACTTAGATCAGGATAAAGGTAAAGAGAGTAATTCTGATATCAGAAACCATTTTAAAATTGCTTTGAGATAATTGAGGAATGATTGGGTCTGTCCAGTCTTGGTCTGTTACATAATAAAACAACACAGAATATTCTCTCACTTCTTTTGGGCTCTGTTTTCAGAATTAGTCCAAGGCTTCTTGGCCACAAAATAGAATTTCCTTGCACCAACAGCTTTCCTTTCATAGTCTTAGTGTCACAGAAGTGCTGTGACTGTTGCAACTGCATAGATGAGACTGTTTTGCTTCCCTAAGTGATCTACCATTGTTTACATAGATTTTTTTTCTCCAGAACTTTTGAAAATAAGTTGACTGATAAAGCTGATTTTATTCTTTTTCAGTACCTTTTGAACTCATTAGCACATTCAGCTACTTTGATATAGGTGTAAAGAGTTTCAGAGATGCCGAGTTCTTAGAGAGTTTTGTAAAATGAGTAGCTGCAAGAAGTCCAAATTAGTGCCTTCACTAAGAGAGGGCTTGAGGTTCATGCTGCTTTCTCTTGTGTTTGCGTTGCAAACTGGCTGGACTGCAAGAACTGGCTAGAGAAAAACTGCCTTGCACAGTTTGTCAGAGGGATGGGGGCAGAGAAAGATGGCTCACAAATAGGGTAGAGCCTGTTGCAGCTGGTTGCTGTGTGGTAAGTATTCATGAAACTAGACTTCTTTAATCCCACTTGTGGTGGTTTTAATCTAGGCCTTCCTTGGTGATCAGTTTGTAAACAAGGAAGGGACAGTGTTCCCAGTATTTCATACGATTTTTACGTAAATCGGGGTATAAATAAGAAGGGAGGAGAGGCCTTCGCTCTCTTCTCTTCCGCCCAAGTTCGGGAACAGTGGGTCCCTGCGTTGGTCTCACTTATCTAAGGCTGAGGCCTGCAGCATCCACTGACCCGCCACGTGGAGGCTTGGAGAGTGCTGGCCATGTCTGCCAATCCTGCTTTTCTAAGGGATGTGATGAGATTTGTTTTACTAGTTATTTACTAGCTCTCAGGTTTGACTGCGCATATCTGCTCAGTGTCCCTTTTTTGTCTCCTTTTGTTCCTTTTCCCCTTTCCCTATCCCTCCGGGGGGAGTGTTTGGATTCCCTTTTGCTGTGCACATAACATCTTAACTGTATATAACTGTAATGTAACATAAAATACATATTGTTTTATAACTAGCTTGATTTTGTTTTTTTTTTCAATTTGCATAGTTCTTTGCCCTGGGCTAAGAAGGTGTGGGGGGTGGGGGGGAATTGCTGCTGAGGGTTTGGGCATTTGGAGGGAGCCAAGTCTGAACCATCACACCACTGTTTATGAAATTATTTGTCTGAATGATGCTTTCTGATTATGTGTTAACAAAAAAAATCCCTTGACCACTGTATGCCAATTTTAATCCTTGCTTAAACAGAGGGGAGCAAATCTATCATTTATAATCACACATTTATTCTGATGTCATTAACCATTCACATTTCTTATTAGTATTTGCATGAGTAATGGTTACTGAGCATACATTCTTTTGCATCTCCAAACACTTTTATGAATTATTCTGTATCATCTACATGTCTTCTACACCTTAGGAGTCTGTGATGGTCAAAGAGTTTTAATTAAGTAATGACATTACAGAAAGAATAAGAATAATAAACAGGGAGGAAATAAGATGGTGAGGAATTGAGGACTCTGCTGATTACTTCTGCTGAAGACCTGTAATTAATAAAGAACAATGGATATGACAGATGTTACTGCCTGGCATATTGTGACTAATGTTGGAAGAGGTGAATTAAAGAATATTTAGAGGGAGCAAACATAGTCAGTTAAACCATGAATGCAGGAGATCTTTAAACTTAATAAATTGTGGTTTAGATTATATAAGAAAACTGATGCATTTGTCATTTCAAGATGACTCCAAGTGAAAAGGATTGATTCCCAGAGAGAGGGATTCTTAACAATCAAACTGTCAAATGGTTGCAGACTTTAGTTAGCATGAATCAACCAGTTTTAGAAAACTGTTTTTTTCTCAACAAAATAAATGTGAAGTGAAAGAAAGCATATAAAACTATTTCTTTATTGGAACAGGCTGCCTAGGGAAGTGTTGGAGTCACCAACTCTGACAGTGTTCCAGAAACAACTCATTATGGCACTTAGTGATGTGGTGTTCAGCAAAAGTTTAGACTTAATGATCTTGGAGGTCTTTTCCAACCTTAGTGATTCTACGATCAGCTCAAGCTGTACTTCTTTTTAATGTGTTACATAGAAAAGAGACAAATTATATTGATGGCTTTCTTCCAGGTAGCAATTACAGTGAAAAATGTGACGTTTTCAGTTGGGGTATTATTCTCTGGGAGGTAATCACCCGTAGAAAACCTTTTGATGAGATTGGTGGTCCAGCTTTCCGAATAATGTGGGCAGTTCACAATGGTGAGTTGGAAATATTTTACTGCATTTGAAGTTGTGCATTTGACCTGTAAATTTGCTAAACATTCTTAACCACGCAGCTTTAAATTACTAGTGTTTCCATTTTATGCGTCATTAAATATACACTTTTGTCACAAAGACTACATAGTTAAGCACTACCACTTCCGTGTCAGTGTGGGTTTTGTGTTATTTGGCTGCTATGGGTAACTGGTGTATTAACTAAGAAGGGTAAAGAGCCATGTCTTCTTTGTTTTGACACTCGATTTTAAAAGTGATCTGAGAGGTGCAACAGAAAAACCCACAACCCCTCTATCTGGATGAATGGTGATTTTTATTAGCCGAGTTGTCTCTTTTATTTTTTTTACTCTTTGTAATTAAATGTATACAATAAATGTGTGACTTGAAGTAACTTGACCTGTGTTTAGAAATACTAGAAATTGTCACTCCTGCAGGACCATTAGGCATTAAAAATGTCATTTGGTTTTTCATCTGTGGTGTTTTGAATTTTGTTTATTTTGTTCTGCTGTTTGAATGGTTTTACCTTTTTACCTGCACTCATGGGGCAGCACTCTGCTGTGCTAGGTATTATACAGAACAGATTTTTATGAGCTTAGACTATAAACAGGACACAATGGTTGTATTCAAATGGACCTTTTTCTTTAAAACAGTGGTATAATGCCGATCAGGGTAGTAGATTGTAATATCTTCATTCTAGTGGTGTAACTTTTTTACTACTGTGTTTTTACGTACCATGGCAAAACAGAGTTTTACAAACAATAAAGTAAGGATAGTGAAGTAGTTCAGTGGCTGCAAAGAGTTTCTGCCGTTTGTGAGAGACAACATCAAAGCAAGCACAGACTTGTTTGTAAGGAAAAAATAACAAACAATGAAGGCTGTTTTTTCAGATACACAGGTCATTAATGTTAGGAGTGAGGAGTGCCTTGCATAAAAGCATTAACTGTGAAACTAAGTGTAACTCCAGTAGTCATAAATCAGGAAGCCTCAATAAGGTGCAGGAGTATCCTTTAGGGAAAGAAAATTTCCCTATCTGTAGCTTCTTGTGCTTCAAAAACTTATCCTTTTTATCTTCTTCCATTTTCTTTTTCCTTCTTGAGTGGAAACGTTAGTACACTTCATCTCACTTAAGACTATGGTGGCACTCTTTCCTTCATCTATTACTCATTCTGTGTAATATATTTTTAAATACTTGTTGGTTTCTTTGCAAACCGTCACTGTTCCTCATATATCAGACACAAGTGGTTGTCCATTAATTGTACTCATTGTTGAAATCGTAAAAAGAGGAGAAACTTGAACTAAAAAACAGCCGAATGGTTATACAATAGTTGAAGTAAAATGTGTTATTACAAATGTGTATAGGCATTAGAAAGTCACACAAAATTGGTACTTCCAGTGCCTGTAATTTTTAAGGGAGTTTTTAAGGGCAAAATCAGCTCTCAAAAATACATCAGGTGTTTTGGTTTTTTTATTTTTTTTTCTTGTGAATACAGCATTAGGAACCAAAGACTGTTACTACTTGCTTCCTAGTTTGTTCTAGAGCTTCATTCTTCAGAGACTAGCAGCATTAGCCATTGTAATGTGCTGTATTTATTCAGGCCTCTACTGAAGAAGTTTAATTTCTTTTCTACTTGTTTGTATGTAATTGTAGCCTCTATGTAGTGCAAAGGAACTTTTTTTAATCAGTTTTTATTTGTAAGAGAGAAAATTAAGTACAAGCCAGTTCTTTCAGCCTACAATTAACTCTACCTTTCTGTATATTTATTTAGCAAAATACTGGGGAGAGATCGGTCACTGTCAGTTGTTTATTATAATAGTCTGTTTAAAAAATTAGGGATTTTTCCTAAAAAATTAAGGGTTTTTTTCTAATTTCAATTACAGGTACTCGGCCACCTCTGATCAAAAACTTACCTAAACCAATTGAGAGTTTAATGACCCGTTGTTGGTCCAAGGATCCCTCGCAACGACCATCCATGGAGGAAATTGTTAAAATAATGACACACTTGATGCGGGTATAAAAATTTATTTTAGTATCTTAATCATTTTTTAAGCTGTTAAGGTAGGAAATTGAATTACAAAAGGTATGCCTTTCATCACACTCCAAAGATGGGCTTGCATGTTTTCTTTCTGCTCTTTCTTTTTGATAAAACTTATCAATTACAGTAGAGAAGGGAAATAATTCATCTCCTTATGGGAGGGGTATACCAACTCATAAGAGATTTGAGGAAATTTAAAAAATACTCATAGGTGTATTTTAATGTATGACTAAAAATATTTACACTTACGTGTCTTCAAAATAAATTCTTATAAATTTATAAATTGTATTTCTAAATTATGTGATACTATTAAAATAATTTTAAAACTATTTTTAATTAGGCTTTTTTATCAAATCATTGCTCTTTCTCCACAGTACTTTCCAGGAGCTGACGAACCTCTGCAGTATCCTTGCCAGTATTCAGATGAAGGCCAAAGCAACTCTGCCACTAGTACAGGTACATTTGTATAAGTGAGAGAAAACGAACAGCAACATAAGCATTGACAGGGATCTATTTTTTTTGTTAATACTTCTTACCACATCATATTCAGTGTTCTCAGTCAAATGGTTTTGATGAAGTGTACTTGTAATGGAGAACAAGTTTATTGTAAAAGCTATCTAAGTGTCCAAGTTTAAGGTCTCCTTTTTTTTCCCATGAATGTTGCTAACAATTAACACCTTTTCACCAATACGTGATGTGTAGGAGTTGTCAATTTAAAATTTTTCACTACTCTTGAAAACTGCACCTCTTTCAGTTATAATCTCCACAATTTAAACTTGCATTTCTTTTATGTTAAGAAACATTAAATACCGTAATTTAAATTTAAGTGCAAGAAAATAACCAGAAAGGTGGATGGAACGAAACGTGGGCTAGACTTTCAGGTAGTCTTGATTTAGGATAAATCCTTTTAACAAAAGAAAATTAAGATCATTTGATCGCCTCATTTTTTAGAGTACAGTTTCTCCACTTAAATAATTTTTAATCTTAGGGGTCTTCAAATTTCTCTGCTTGGTTTGTTTATTTTCTGTCTCCTAAGAAATTGCTGGTATTTTTGATAAAGTTTCATTGGCTTCTTTACAATTTAGTGACCTATATATTAACAACATCTTTGCAGCTGTAGCATTGCACTGACTTTACTAGTTCTCCACCTCTCAGCACATGATTTTAAGACCTAATTTATCACTTCAAACTGAATATATGTTGACTGTTATTTATCACATATTTATGCTCTTCTGTGGTTAACGATGGTCTTTTTTTTATTGCGAATGAGATTTCTGGTTGTGTTTTTAATATAACACTACCCTAACAATTTCAAAGAAAGCTAAAAATTGACTTCTGAATGTTATCGCAGTAGGTACTTGTGTATTCTTTTTCGCTCCTCTTCTTACAGTAATGGATCTGTTGAAGTCTTGCAACTTGCCTTTCATTAAAAGTTTTGAAAACTGTTGTTTTAAAGCCAAGTTAGGCTTCTGAGAATGCTCTGGTGAAGAGGTGCACTTCAGTCTTTTTAGTGAACATTCCCAAACGTTCTTCCTTGTTACTGGTTTCTAGGTTCATTCATGGACATCACTTCTACAAACACAAGTAACAAGAGTGATGCTAACATGGAACCAAGTGACTTCCAAGGAGCTTCTACCAATGACACTATTAAACGTTTAGAGTCAAAATTGGCACAACAAATCAAAACCACAACCAAGCAGCCGGTAAGCTAACATGTGCAATTTTGAACCATAATAACGAAGCGGACATGGTAGACGAAAGTGTTGCATCTGCTCTGAAACATTAGTGTCCTCCTTCAAAAATCGTACAAACCTGGACCCAGGTACTTATAGGAGAACATGAAAAGGGATGGAAAAATATTGAATGATTCCAAAAATGTAAACTGGAAGGCTCTATTAAGATCTCCAATGAAATGCAAAAAACTAGTTCCTTCTGTTTAAAGGGATTTATTAGATTAAAAAAAACGTGTTTGAAAATCGCTGCCTTAATTTAAATCCAAAATATTAGTATGATATAAAAGGCTTAAACATTTATGTGAATTTTGAAAATACTGGGGCTTATTTCAAGTAGAATGTAAAAATACAAAGATTCTACTCTGATGATATTGGCCTAATTCTACTGATTTTTTTTTATCTGTATGTATGAGATTATTTTCAAAGTTGCAGATATTTCGGTTTTATATGCCAATAGTAGCTCAATTATTACCATTTATTATGTTACAAATTTTAAATCATGTCACTTTTAAAATGCACAGTATAGAAATAGATTTTTAACCTGCATACTGATGCAAATTATGGAGGGGCTTGTGCAGAATTTTCTTTTTAAAAATGTGACTGTTGAAACAGGGTGATCCTGGCCGTTTGAGTTTACCCCCATCTCGTGGGAGCAGCGTGGAGAGCTTGTCAGATGTTCGTGCACGACCACCGTCAGCCCTTGTTTCCGGAGAAGCCAAAAGGATGAGTGCTGACATGTCTGAAATAGAAGCAAGAATAGCTTCCATCACAGGTAAAATTAAAGGATGTTTGGGGTGTAGACTAAGGAATTGGAAGGAAAGAAAGGAGGAAGGAAAATGTGAAATGTGCATAGTCTTACAAAGTTAATACCAGTAGCCATATGAAAATACTTTAACTTTTAATGTAGGAGGAAATGGCTTTCTTTATCAGCAAGGTTGAGTATTGTAATTGAGTATTTTAAAGGTTGTAGAAGAGATTTTGTTGAATTAGATTTTTACTGTTTTTAAAAACACATTATAAGACTTATCCTATTCCAAATGCACAACTTTCACCTTTGCATCTGAAATAGTGTTATTTCATCTCTGCTAAGCGTAATTATTTATATAATAACATTTTCTTCAAGGTTATTTCTGTAATATTTTTTGAAATTAAGAGGTAGGTTTAAAGTTCAGCATGTTCCCAAATTAGTTTTAAAATCCACTTTGACAGATTTCAGAAAGAGGAACATAGTTAGATTTTATTCATGAGATTAACAAAGCATTGGTGTCTTCTGTTTAAAAAAAAAAAAAAAGCTCCAGGTGTTTTGCCAGGTTTGCTTCAGCTATAAACTGTTACGTCTAAACATTAAATCTTTGAGAGAATTGGAATTTATCTGTATGTATAAATACATAATTTTATGGTGAAAGCAATATCTATTCTTCCCAGAAAAGTGAATTAATAAATATGTGTATACTTGGCAAACACTTTCCTGTCTCTTTTCTTCATCAAAGATATTGTTTGTTAATCTATGTAAACTTCAGGTTTTAAGTTCTGTATGTGAAAGTTTTGGGTTGTTATGGTATATAACCACACATTTAAATAATAAAACAAAATTACTTTGGTTAGTTCAGGGTTATTTAGCTGTTTGAGTATTTTTCTACCAATCTGAAAATTAGGTAATTGAGTAGTTTCAATTAGTAAGGAATTATGTATCAAAATTCTGGCTTTGTTTTGCACCATGACTGTTTCATTTTTGTTCTTCATTGTATTATGATTACTCCAAAATCTTGTTTTACTGAATACTGAAGTTACTCATGACATAATATTTACCTCGCCCTAAACACATTTTATTTTCATGTTCTTGTTTTAAAGCTTTATTCCAAAATTTGTCTTTTGTATTGTCAGTCTTTGACTGGATGATTGTGTAGCACATCTCACCCTGAATATCTCTAAAGGTTTCTTAATACAGAAGGCAGCTGTGTACTTACCTGGTAATAACACCATGCTGGTTTTATTTTAAAATATGTCAGGACTCACTTTGGTCACTGACACTCTTAATGTAAGTTACTGACATTAGTGGAGATAATCTGGCCCTCCTCTTTTGGAGAGTTTTTAATTTTCCTATTTTTTCTTCCTTTAATACATTAAGGAAGACGATAATAATTGTCTGAAATAATAATTACTATTCAGAATATTCTAAGTTGGTTTTTTTTTGTTATCACTGTAGGGTTTCTTTTTCTTGAAAGAAAAGTATACATTGAACATACTATTTTTGGTTTGGGGTTCTTTGAGTATTTTTTTAAGAAATCTCTTCAGGCAGCAGTAGACTACTACAAATGAAGTCAAACCCATCTGACCATAACTTTTTCAGAAAAAGCTGAAACAGCACTGTATTTATTGGTTTTGTTTTGGTTTTTCAGTCTTGTTAAGTGTGTGACAGAAGTAATGTGCTGTGAATCTGAAAAAAAATTGTGTGGCTGGGTGAGAATTGGGCTGTTGTTAATCAAGTCAAGAGTTAGTTAATCTTCTTGTTTCAGCTTTCACTGAGATGAATGTGCTACAATGATCTATTTTTGGGAGATGTATTCAGTTTTTTCCCTAAATAGGAACTAATTACCTTAAACTACAAAAGTAGCAAAATAATAATAAAAAATTTATCAGATTTAAATTCATAATGTCTGACATTTCTTGAATAACATTCAAAAATTACAAAGTTAGTAGTAATATCCAGCTCCCAAAACAAAAAAATGTCACTAATGGGACAAAAGAGTGAGTGGCAGAAATGACTGTCAAATGTAGTAAGAGTAAGTATTTTTTCAGAGACAGATGAGATTTGCTTTAAAAGGAGGTGAAGTATCTAACTATTTAAAGAAGTATCTGACTATTAAACTTGTTTATAAAATAGTTTGTACCCAACACTAAAGAGAAAATGTTATATAAGTTCAGAGAGTCAGGAATTTATTCTGAATGTACAGGTCAACTGAAATAATTTCATTTTTTCTCTGTTTGGATAATTACATTTGGTTTTCCCTTCTGTGTTGCCATGCTGCTTTCTGTGTTTGACTTTTGTGTTGCTAACTATAACTAATTACACTGTGTTGTAATGATGGCTAGTTCTGCATTTTTTGCTTTTTAACCGTTGCTTTACTATGTGTAAGCATGAGTGGAAGGCAATGCAGTTTATTCTGCATGACATGTTTTTTTGCATGTACTCTAATTTAACCAAGTATATGAAAAGTGCAGTATTAGGAATTTAATAATTTTGCTATTGCCATTTTAGTGTTTTGCATGTGTATTGTATATGTGTATTTTTTCAGCCTATTCCAAGCCTAAACGAGGCCATCGTAAAACTGCTTCATTTGGCAACATTCTGGATGTCCCTGAGATCATCATACCAGGTATCGCAGACCAGGTGAACGGGTCAGTTGGTTAAGATGCCGGAATAATGATCAGACTGCTAAAATACTTCTTGCTCCAGTTGCTATAGGACAGAACCAGAAATTATCCCACAGAATTTTTCATAATGCTTCTGTAAAGAGAAGCATAATATTTTATTACAAGCTTACTTTTATCAGTAAAGGATTCAGTCTTCTGGTTCAAACTCACTTGTAATGATAAAGCATTTTTTCCTCTATCTTGATCCTTGGAGTCTTCTTACAGAGCAAAACTGTATATATGCAGTCTTTTATTACAGTGCCTCATTTGGTGAAAATGGAGTTAAGTTGAAAAATTCCTGTCTAGGTAATTATTTTGCCCTGATCTTTGTTGTGTTTGGGCTCCCATTTTTAATCAAATATTAGTAGAACAAAAAACTTAAATACATTAGGTAAAGAATTTCAAATCCTTGTGATATTTGTAATTAAAACATTAACACTTAATCTGTGTAATCCTTATAGTTGACTATGCTGTTCTATAGCTAAAATGTGTCTGCATGAGGTGTTTCTGTTGTGTTTAAGTAAATGCAAACTAAAATTATTAGGAGAGGTTTCTGGCAGGAAGAAAATCAGTATAATCAGGCACCATAGATGATAATTTCAGTTGGGACTTTAATGAATAATTCTCATGTGTCCCAGGTCTATTTTTAGTTAGGAGCATATCATTTTCCTTTCCCTTTCCATTTTTTTTTCAACCAAAGTAGATTTCTTTCTTTTATTTCATACTTCTCAAAACCTAAAAATAAGTATAATCAATCCCAAACTGTGATAGGTACACCATTAGCAGTATGCAAGTCACTTCAGAATTATTTGTCACAGGCAGGAAATGCTAATCTACTAAGTATCTACTGCTAATCTAGAAATACACTAGAAACTGTGGACCTCTGAGTCTAAATCGGTGTCATCTGAGGAAGTTACCTTGTAAATCTTGATATTGTTAGGTATTTTAAAGTTGAATGCAGAAGACAATTTTATACAAAAGTTTCTTTTAAATAACTTTATTAAAGGTTACATATAAAAATACAGAAAAAAATTGATTCCAAAGAGCAATAGAATGCTCTTTCCCAAGTCATGAAAAGAAAACCTCTTTGGCATTGAGTCTAACAAATTGGCAAAAGAGTTTGCTAGGGTAGCTTTCCACTGTAACTTTCAAACGGTCCTGGCCTGCAATGACATAAATGAAATCCTGAGAGAGCAAGGAAAGCGAAAGTGATCTGTCAATTTTCACAGTGCTAACACATGCTGAGAGCCTCTTAAATAAGCTCTAGAAGCTAATGAGTGCCTCTTCTCTGTGCACACCGTCTGCACATAGCAACACCGAGCCTTCCAAGAAACCTTGAAACTTTAAAGGAATGATGAAGTCAGTTAAATAAAATGCCATGTTGTTTTCACAAAGTCAGTTGTACCAGTCTATTGGTTTCTTTGTTAGGCAGAGGAGTCATTAGACATTCTTATTTTAATTGAACTGGACAGAATGGGAATTCCAAGATGAATTATTTGGAATACTTATGAGAGAAATAGCAGCTTGTAGAAATGATAGAAGTTACAGGTCTGGAGCAAGCATATTAATGAATGTTCTCAAAATTTAAGTCAAATTTTAAGGTATTTAAGTCAAAGAAACAATAATGAAATTCACCGTTAATGTTTTATCAGAAGCAACTGTTCATAAAGAGGAGGATTAGAGTATTACATAAAGTGAATTTTGCTGTGACTGAAAAGAAATAAGGTAAAATCCAGGGTCATGCACTGTGGGTCACACACTTGCAACTGTTTCTTTTAATAAGATGACAGGGGACCATAGCAGATGTGTGCAGATGAATCCCAGGTAGTATAAACCACTAATCTAATGCAGTTGTGAAAAACTGTGAAATCTTAAAGTTCATTTCCAGGGAAAATGAAGATGCACTGACACTATTTATAGGCCCATGCTGAATTTTAATCAGGAATTCAATATACTGTTCTGGTCAGCCATATAAAAGAAACATACATGCACTCTGAAATAATATCAAGAAGAGCTAGTAGGATGTTATGGAGAGTATAAAGAAGAATCTGAAAGCATGGCTTTTTTTAGCCAGCTAAAAACTAGGAAGAGAGAAGTACTTAAGCTAAAAGACTGTATTGGCACTACAGAAGAAATATGTAAATTGTCTGCAAATACGTCTGGGCTGTATATTGAAAGCTTCTTGATTGTCAGAACAGCTTTCCTGTAATAATCCCAAAGCCAGAAAAAAAAATGAGATTAATCATTACATGACAGGGACATGATTATCTGCCCAGTAAACTAATTACAGTCATCTGTATACTTAAAGCAGTTATTCCAAAATACCTTGCTCAGTTATTCTTTTAAAAACAATGGATTTCTCACTTCTTTCCTTTCCTTACTCTCTCAGTTCCCCCCAAACTGTCACCTCCATATTGATCCCACCCTGTTAGGTTCCATAGCACTTCAGCCCCTGACCCAGCTCCTCCAAACTTCCCTGGGCATGTCCCTCGGTGGGGCGAGCAGCTCGTCTCGGTCCTTGGAGCAGCACAAGTGCCGGTCTGTGCTGCTGCCTGGAGTTGTGCTGAGCACATGGTAAAGCAGCTGCTGCCCAGAGAGGGGAGGCACCATGCAGGCATGTAACCGTGAGTCAGCTGCTTTGGGGCAGGGCTATTTTAGAAGTATGAGTACTACATCTGCTATCATTGGGGCTTTTCGTAATGCATTGCCTCAACTGCATTTCGTCCATGAACTGATTATGCTGCCAAGGTCGTAAAATACACGTTTTTATCAGTTAAAGGTAAAATATTGGCAGAAGGGGAAGTTTTAAATATATATTTGCTCTTCTTTCTAAGTTAGTACAATAAGGGTGAATAGAACTTTTTGTTCATTTAAGATGCTGTTTTGTATTGCTAGCTTACAAACTTAAACACTGAAAAATGAATCAAATAATTCCATTTTGTCTAACAGCTTTAGCAAGAGTTTGCAGCAGTGGTATCCTGCAATCAGATAGACAAGCAATATATCAATTCTTTTTTTTTTAATTTACAGTGTATATATAGTATAGGTTATAAGCACCAACATTTTATTTTTTATTTTTATATATATAAATATGAAAAATGAAAATCCTAGTAAGTGCAAAAGATTTATGTATCTTTATGTTTAAATAAACAAAAAAATCTGAATTATAGTTTGCATACCTTTTCAATACAAACCAGTCAAGCAGCAAACCTTCAAGTACAGCCTTTTCTTCACTGGCAATGTTAGACATCTCGTGCATTTAGCATGTGTGCATTTGGCTTTGTAATTTTGTCATCTGAAACTCTGCCACAGCGTTACGATTTTTATAGCATTGACACTGCATAAATGATTTTGTTGAGGGTCTTTAGAAAGTGGTTAGGAATTATGGATGCTTTAGGTCTGTAACTTTGCTGTCTACTTTTAAAACCAATATATACCAGAAATCCCACCCTTGTCTTCCCAAATCACTTCATTCTTCTGGAATTCAGATAAATGTTTTATCTTCTTCAAAATGTCTTCTAGCACTGTTAGAGTCATTGATCATCCTGCACTGAGAGAGAGATTTGAGTCTTGTAGGTGTGTAAGGAAGAGAGAGTACTGTGAGTAAATAAGAAAGTGTAAAAGGAGACGCCAGTATCTGTTAAAGGGCAGGGAGAAGAGGTCATAGCTGGTCTGGATGTTTGGCGGTGGGGTGGGGGTGGTGATCAAATAAGTTGTAGAATTTATTTTTGCCTGCAGTATGTGGGGCAGGACATAATGGAAGTTTCCTGTTCCTCTAGAATTTAATTTTAGAAAATAAACAACAGTGTGCGAAATGGGGTTTTTTTGAGGCCAGGAAGTGTGTTTGTGACATTTGCTTTTTAGTCTTAAAATCCTGTAAACCACCAAAAGCCTGACATTGTGCATCAAGCTACTGTAGATGAACTTCTGTGCTTGCACAAATCCCTTAGTTTTTATAATGAGGAAAAATTTGGTTTAAGTGGTCAAAGAGGTAAGAACAAGATCGTAACTGTGAGAGGAAAGCATAAAGAGGTACCAGTGATCATTTCAAATAAATATTTTATGTTGTGTTGTATATTTTTCAATTGAAATTTTTCTTGAATCTGGAGCAATAAGTATTTGTTGATTCGTAGTCTGTTTCTGCCTTGTCTAAGCTATTTGCCAGATGTCTGCAGTAGTTACACTAATTAAAATGGCATTGCCTAGTAGAGCTTGCTCTTCCCTCATGCTACTAGCTGAAGATATTTCATTTAAAGGTGTTCATTTTTTACAACACAGTAGTTTTGACCCCTCTTTCTTTCTCCCCTCCCCCCCAACCCAAGGCATTTTCTTTTCTTTCTTGCACCCCACCCTGATTATTTTAACATTTTGGCAGCCACGTTCTAATATTTCAGCAACAGATGTGCTGGGTTCTTTAAATTCACAAATGTTGCTAATCTGAAATGAGAATTTCAGATATTTTTGCAAGCCTATTTCAGCTGAGCTAATTTTATAACAATGTTGTTGAATGAAATGTGCACATAATTTTGTGTCAGTTGTGGGTGGATTGCACATATCTTGAATACTGAGATGAGCTGTGGCAGCCAGATGAAGCATCCACGGCACAGAATTCTATTAAATGTATAATCTTGTTTGTTAAAACGATTACATAGTGAAAAAGTTCACTACAAATGAACAAGTTCAGACATTTTGACATAGATTAGTCATTCACACGATCCCTAGTATCAAAGTATTAAAAATACTTAGCCATTGTTGCTTAGGTAAGTACATACTTTCCCTGAATTTCAGAAGCAAAAGATCGAGACCACAGAGCAGTTGCAATTCAAATTCATTTGCAGTCAGAGCAAAGAATATATTCGTGTTCTAGAATACTGCTTGATTTTCTTATGTGCTTGTTTCTTATAGTACTTGCTATAAATGTGAGATGATAAAATGTCATGACAAATCAGTAGAGTGACTGAAAATTTTTTATTGCTGTTTTGTGCTAGTGTGTTCCTGCGTGTAAGAGTACCTATATTTAAAAATTAAAAAGATTATTAAATGCATTGATCAGGATTAAATAGTGTTACATTTTTGTAGTAACTGTTGCAATTCAAAGGATAGTCTGTGTCAGGATAGGCTGTGGAGTCATATGGAAATGATGCTGAATGAGAAGTGTCTAAAAGGTTAAAAATGCGATGCCTTTTCCAGGGCTTTAAGTGATCTGGGTTGGTTGCTGAGTGCAGGGCTGCTGGGCGAGGGGCTGCCACGGCTGCAGTACATGTTTCAGATGCTCCCCTCCAGTAGCGAAGTTACGTAATGCAGAGCTAAGAGCAAGAATTTTGAGCATTGTCAGCTGTTACTCAGGACGTTTTGGTGTTTCCTTTTGGACAGCTGACCTGCTCTCAAGAGATAATATAAACAATCACTGTAATAAAAATCAAAGTGGCCAGGGAGATTCTGTTGCATAATCTCCTTTTATTTTTAAGGAGACTTTGTTTCCTGGAAATGCCTTTGATTGCGTGTCAGTGTTAAAATTTAAACTGTTTTATGTAGCTGTCACTGGTGGATAATTGTGAACAGGTGGAAGGAGAAGAGGAAAAGATTACAGCATTGTGCTCCGTAGGTTGATGGTGAGATGTGATTTAGCTGAACAGTCCCCTTTTCACACTTCTCAGAGCATGAGAATAGGACATAGTTTCGTTCCTCTGAAGGAGGCAGAAGACCAGAAGAAAGCGCTTTCGTTTCGTAATTTTCTTGAGGGGAGCCGCACACAGGCAGAAGTCCTTGCTGTGTTCCTTGAGCAAGCCAAAGAGCAACAGGTTAAAGCTGGCAGCCTGTTATCTTCGCGGTTTAGCTTTTAGAAATCCCCATAACGTAACGCACTTGAAATAGATGTCGTCATCAGCTCCTGCCCCAAGTACTAAGCCTGACCAAATACATGTGACAGAAGATGGTGGAGTAGAGTGCAGCAGCTATTCATGTGGTAGGAGTGGTTATTGTATTAGAGTATACTTTTTGTTGACAGGCCAGCATGTTTTGAGTTAAAATTCTGCAGCTGTCTCTCTCTCTCCCTCTCCCACTTTGTCTCTGTGGATTTGTACAAATTCCAAGCTCCTCTGCAACAGTCGCACCCGTCTTATTTTGTTCTGAATATATTTCACTGGTTTGTTTTTGTTTTGGTTTTTTCCCAGCAGGAAACGGACAGCAGAGGCGCAGATCCATTCAAGATCTTAGTGTTGCTGGAACAGAGTCCAGTCAGGTAATGTGCTTCTCTTCTCTTCTTTGCCTTTCGGTAAAGTCAGCACCAAATCCATATTGGGGAACTGGTCTGGAAATCTTCACCTTTGATGCTTTCATAGAAATGATGTGGAAGCTTGGCATACTGTAGCATTGCTTGTATTGAATTTAAATGAGATTCCATGAGGGTAATCTATGAATGAGCTCTAGATGAGAAGCATTTTCTGTAGAGTTTATGCAGTATTTGGCATTTTTGCATACACATGGTTTTTGTGTACCTCTTAATTTCTCTGAGGGCGGATATTACTCAGGAAAGCCTTTTTTTCTCTCTCTATTTAGAAAACAATTGTAATTACTACTTATTATCTGAAGCAGTTACACATACATTAGAC